CCTTCCCATCTGTATTGAAAAGAAGTCGAGAAATTTGAGATTGAAGAAGTAGGGGTCGCCTAGTTTCAGAGGTAAAATTTTTAGCAAGAAAATGGCCGTCAAAGTTTGGTAACTTCCATAGCCTTAGAGTTCTAGGAAACTGAAACTGAAAATGTATATTTTTTTGTGCGTTTAATCGACATTTTTCAGTAAAATTCAGACAAAAATGTATTTATAAATGGACATAAAAGGTGTTGCGAAAAAAATAAGTTAGAAAAAATTTCACATCTGCCTGAAAAATGCCGGGTTTTTTAATTTCATAATTTTGACGAGCGCCTGATTTCACCACGATGCCTCAGAAATAACTCTCTGCGCAAGCTCCACGCCCACTGAGACTAGATGAAGCAGCCATGAGTGAAATGAGTCAGGACAAGCTGCGACATCAGTTTCCAGGGATTCTTGCCGGACAAGAGGTTAACAGAAAGTAGACAGATGTATCTTTTACTGTTAGCCAAAGAGGTTATATTTAGGACTAGAGTCCCCCCCCCCCCCACACAAAGAGGTTATATATTTAGGACTAGAGTTCGTGGCAGTGATGTCCCATACACAAAGAGGTTATATTTGGTCGCTTTTAAGGACAAGCGGGCTAACCCAGATTTCGGGGGTTTCCAGAAATCTTGAGCTACACCAAAAGAGGGCATAGCCCTACCTATAGGAGAAGTTTGGTTTCATTGGTGTGTATATTTGTTTGATTATATAGAAACTTCTCCTTGCCTTTTAAAGAAACTGAACAAGGGGCAAAATTTTTACCTTCAACTTTCTCGAAACAGCATTTTTCGGGATAGCCCCCTTGTGCTTAAAAGCGACCATTTAGTACTAGAGTTCGTGGCAGTGATGTCCCCAACACAAAGAGGTTCTATTTAGGACTAGAGTTTGTTGCAGTGATGTCCCCCACGGGGCTGTGTACGCCCAGGTTGGGACGCTGAACCTCAAGGGCAAGACTGGTGCATTTCTCCGAGCGGTGTGTACTTTTCGAGATTCACTCTGGCACTAGAAGATGATGATGACAGGTGTCAGGAGGAATAGGTCTTTCGTATACTAGACGTAAAGTTAAGGGGTTTTTTTTGTCTTAGAAAAAAAAACACCAAACCGCCTTGTGCAGAAATCTTCCATGGCAGTTAGTGAGTACATGAAAGTTGGTGAGTTGGTCTCAGAAATCTTCCATGGCAGTTGGTGAGTACATGAAAGTTGGTGAGTACATGAAAGTTG